CCCCGCCCGGCCCGCGCGGGGATTCCCTGTGGCGGCGGCCAGGCGCAGACGGGGCGGAGCCGGCAGTGACTCAGCCGGGCGCCCTTCCGCGGGGCCGCTCCCCCAGGGAAACCCCGGGCCTGGCCTCGCGGGGGCTTCCGGCCTTCTGCCCGCGGCCCAGCTGCTCTGCCGGGGCCGGAAAAGCTCGGGGACCTCAGAGCCGGCGCCGTGACCGTGCAGCTGCCATTTCCCGGCTCTGCCTTGCCCAGGCTCCCACGCGTCTAAAGCCCTGCGGCAGAGAGCAGGGAGCCGGCTATGTCCCCCCGCTGTCCCTCTTCCCCTGGGCGGGTGGAGGGAGCCCTGCTCCTCGCTTGGCGGGTGCCGGTGTCCAGTTCCCTGGTGAATCCGTGGCTTCCCCCACGCCTGGCTCCACCAGGTCCCAGCTCTGACGAAAAGAAACGTCCCTCGGCTGGGTTGAAACCCGTGTCTGTCGACCTTGGTGGGGGGGGTCTGCAGACTGGGTCTAAGGGGTCTGCGAAAGGCAATGGTGATCAATCAAAAGTGTGCAAATACCCACGCTTGCCATTCAGGGGGGTCTGTGCCTCTGCTAAAAATATTTTGAGGGGTCCACAAATAAAAGAAGGTTGAAAACCGCCGTTTTCAATGTCTTGGCGATTTGTTTCATTGTATGCATACTTTTTCTTGTATTGCGGGAGACCGTAAATCGACTTTCTCTTCACCGTTTAGTATTTTGTAAAGCCTGATCATGCTTGCCCTCAGGCCTGTATTTTCTAAACTGAAAAGTCTCTATAGTCTCTCTCCTATGGTAGTCCCTCTATACTTCTAATCATCCTTGTTGCCCTTCTTTGGACCTTGTCAAGTCCTTCTATATTTTTTTTGAGAACTGGGCACAGTATTCAAGGTGTGGATGCACCATAGATTTATAAATGGGCAGGCTGATACGTTTTGTTTGTGATTCCCTTCTTAATGAGCCCTAACATTTTGTTTGCCTTTTTGACAGCTGCTGAGCTCTGAGCTGATGTTTTTAGCAACCTGTCCACAATGATTCCTGGATCTCTTTCCTGTGTGGTAGAAGCTAATGTCAAGCCCATCACTGTATAAGTATAGTTGGGGTTATTTTTACTCAGGTACATCATTTTACACTTAATTATACTGAATTTCACCTGCTATTTGGTTGCCCATTCACTCAGCCGTGGCAGATCCTTCTGTAGTTCCACATACTCCACTTTGACCTTTATCGTGAGTCGACAAAGGTTGAGAACCTGGGTCTAAACACACCAGACAGGCACAGGGGCAGGGAAGGAGTATGAGAGAGAAAAAATGAGCCATGTGATGGTAGCAAGAATCAGGATCCTTTCATTTCTTTCTGGGATGTCT